AACTCCAATTTCACAATTAGCCTAAGTTAACCTCAGACCAAAGAGAAAAGGATTCAAGAGTCAAAACCAACTCACACTCTATTTCCACACTTCTGACCCTCAATTAAACAACTTGGGCCATCTCCTGTCATGCAACTAGAAAGCAAGACCTCTTAGAGAATTTATCATTTGAATCAAAATTAGCCCTCATATGATTTTGACTCATCTATTCTGTCCTCCAAAACTTCTCAGATCAAATCCACTCCCTCTTTCACATATCAACCCCACTGTTCATCTCGCTTTCTTATTTAGTTTTACTCATGATTCTGATGTTAATTCCAATTTGTACCCCATTGCAGAGTTTGGGAACCTTCCCCAAAGAGCTGAACTCTACTCCTATGTGAGTTCAAATAAGCGTGGGGTGAGACGATAGGCACTTATGTCCCAGTTAGTAGTAAAATGAGCCACAAATGAGATAAATTTTGTTTATCTGGGGTGGCTGAGTATCTTCTTCCTTCAAAGTAGTGAGGTAACTCCAGCTGAGCCTTCAAGAAGGTGGAAATGCTTTTCTATACCTGTAGATTCTTAATTTGTAGCCCTTAATCCTGGGAGATCTTACACATTTAAGCTACCTATAACTTGTTCTTCTTCAGCCTTTGCCTTGTGATCAGGAGCCCCTGGAACCTCAATGCATATATAACCACCCAGATACCTAGGGTCATCACAAACTCATTCATTTAGTCTGAAGTGGTTTGCCTAGAAATCTTTATGTTCAACAGGCTCCTCAGATAATTCTGATATAGGTGTTTTCTGAATAACACTCAGCAATATTTTCCAAGAAAAAAGCAATCCTACTTTAATAATGAATTAATCAATATATACTAGCTTCACCTGGGTTCTATGATCCTTTATAATATTTTCCCTCTGTATTGGCTATCGTACATCAGAAGATGGAATAAGCCTACTACCAGTGAAATCAGGCCCTGTGACCCTGGCGTTGGGGATGGGTGGGGAGGATGAATTAGCATGGTCGCTAAAAGCGCAGATTCAATGGCCTCGGTTCAAATTCCTGTTCCACTACTCATTAGCTGTATAAACTTGGGCAAATGTCAACATTTCTAAGCCTCAGCTTTTTCATCTTAGCAGTTGATGGTATGTATTTCATAGGGCTGTAGTAAGCATTAAATAGAATTATCCACGTAATGAATTTAACCAAGCATTGAGCAGAAACTATACTTGTTATCATTTATGATTATCATCAGGCATAACCTCCACTGATGCTGGCACACCTGCCAACCCTGGATCCAGCACAACTTCCAGTGAGCACAGCATAGCCACCACTGGATTCACTGCAACTTCTGATGGGATCAGCACAACCTCCAATACTAAATCCAGCACAACCTCTGGAGAGACCAGCACACCTGCCAACACTGGATCCAGCGTGACCTCTGGAGGGTCCAGCACATCTGTCAACACTGGATCCAGCATGACTCCTAGTAGTTACAGCATAACCTCTAATACTGGATCCAGCATGACCCCCAGAAATTCCACCACAACCTCCAACATTGGATCCAGTGTGACCCCTGGAGGGACCAGCACATCTGTCAACACTGCATCTAGCACAACCTCTGGTGGGGCCAATAACGTCTCCAGCACTGGGTCCGGCACAACTTCTGGTGAGATCAGCACACCTGCCAATACTGGTTCCAGTACGACCTCCAGTGAGACCAGCATAACCTCCAGTGGGACCAGCACAGCCTTGAACACTGGATCCAGTGCAACCATAGGAGGCTCTGGTACACCTTCTCCAAATGGAACACCCACAACTTCTAATAGAATTAGCACAAGTGCTAGTAGTCCAGTGAATGACGTGAAGCCCAGTGGGTCCCTGAAGCCATGGGAAATCTTCCTCATCACTCTGGTCTCAGTTGTAGTGGTCGTGGGATTCTTTGTTGGGCTCTTCTTCTGTGTGGTGAGTGCCTAATATATAGGAAAGTTCCTGGGGGAAGGAGCAGCAGGAACATAAGGAAATGGGGTATGAATAGTAGGGCCACCAAGTTAGGGGTAGATAGGGAGGAAAGAAAGATCAAGAGAAAGTTACTAAAGAGAAATAGCAAGTTAGAACCAGAGGAGCCAATCAACGTGCAGAGGTAACTATTGACTTGTGGGAACGGGGACAAAAGAAGGAACAAAGGCTGGAAGAATGACCAGTGACTGAGGGAGATGGTTTAAAGGGGGAGAAGATTCCTGAAGGAGTCCATGGTGAAGGCTTGGAGGGGGGATACAATTCTGAAATGATTCTCTCTTCTTTTTCTAGAGAAACTCCTTGTCCCTGAGAAATGTCTTTGACACAGCTGTCTACCGCCCCCATGGTCCCAACCTTGGCCCGGGCCCTGGAGGGAATCACAGAGTCCACCATAGCCCTAGGCGGACCCCTAACTGGTACTGAAGAAGACCAGTTCCTCAATAGTCTTGGAGATGAGAGAGCTACAATGGGTTCTGAGTGGCTGCAGGAGCCAGAGGGCCACATTCTTTACAGAGAAAGTTGACCTGGGGAACCAGAGATCTGAGTGTCCTTTCATTTGTCCCCAGGAGTCCCCTTTGCAGCTTTGTTTGGGTCTCTGCCAGCCTTGGGGAAGACACTTCCTCCCTCTCTCTTGCTTTTACCAGACACTGGAAAGAGGAGACTCTGTTGGTCATTTAACAACAATTAAGAAATAAACACATACAAACTATATCCCAGAGAACACCTGTGTGTGCACATGAGTGGGTGTCTGCAGCGCCGAGCTGAATTTCCCAGTGGTATAAGAGAACCTCATGCTGGAGTCCACCTGTCATTCAGAATCTCCACAGTAAACCTGAGAGATGTCATTTATATCTGTCCCCTTTTTCTAATCCTTCTTGTCCCAAGCAGGAACCCGGTGTCCCCAAGACTCACCCAGACAGACAAGAGAATTGAATTGGGAGAGATGAGAAGGGAGGGCAGGTGCCAGGATCCCAGCGGGGCTCATGGAATAGGCCTATAGAACAAAGAGATCACATGGTAGCACACAGAGAACCCAGAGCATGACAGGTGGAGGTGTGCTGTGGGGTGGGGTGTGGTCACTCACAGTCACAGCTTCCAGGGCATCTACAAAAGCTCCAGACCTGGGCTACTTGTCAGAATAAAGGTGCTAGTTGATAGTTTTCTCTCGGAAGCAGAGAGAAAGCACTTCCTCTTTTATCAAGGGAAAGACTTCCTGGCTTGCTAAGATCTAACTTTTCCAGAGGCTCATGGCAGAGACACCTGGGGTAAAGCCTGAGCTGCTCATGAATTTCTCTCCTGGAAGGGCTGCACATACTCCTTTCACGGTCTAGGCTAGAAGCCTCCCTGAACCTACAGGTCTTGGAGGACAGAGGGGAGCTGCTTTGAAAGGCTGGGCTGCTCTGAATCCAAGAGGCAGTAAGAGGGCTCCCACCTGGGATGGAGCCCTCAGGAGAGAATTAGCACTTTGTTGGTGTGTCCATCCCAACCCACAGCAATGGAAACTGCTCTGCCTTCTACCACTCATTGAGCTTCTCAAATGTCAGCAAACCAGACGATTGATCCCAATCAGTGAGGCCAGGCTGAGCCATATGCAGGCCCACCATCACCACCACCATCAGCTTACCTAAAGGGTCCAGCAACCAGAATAAGTTGAGTTGAACCCCCTAGAATGTTGCCTCCCACTGGTGTGAACTGTGGAAAGCAGAATGTGAAAAAGGTGAAAATGAATGACATCAGGCAAGGGAATCCATTTAGATAATTAAAAACTGTAAAACATGCATTTTTTCAAGGTTAAAACTGTAATAGACAAATTCAAAGAGGCTGGTTGAAAATAAAATTAGTAATCTGGAAGAGCAAGTGGGGAAAGTTGCTCAATTAGATACAACAAATCAGAGATGAAAATCACCCAGACAATAGAAGACACTTGAAGGATAGATTCAGAAGGACGAACATGCAAGTAGTAAGGTTCAAAGCAGAAACAAGGAAGAGATGGACCAGAGAAAGTAAAAGGACAGAAGAGAAGAAAGATTTTAGTCTGCAAATTGCAAGCACTCACTAATGAGAGCTCTGTAAATATACTAAAACCTGTTAACTTATCTATTTTAAGCAGGTAAACTATATGGTATATAAATATCTCAGTAAGTTGTAAAAATATTATTACTAGGTATATTGTGTAAATAAAATGTTTGATTTCCAAAGGTAAACAGCAAATGACTCAAAGCAATGGCACTTTGAGATAGAGGGAGATGAAAAGGGAGGAAACCATGGTGAGCAATTCAGCTTATGGTTAATTCACATGGTTACGCTGTAAACATCTCGCTACTCCCAGCAACTAGAGCGTGTATGCAGAGTTAGGAAGCATCATTACTCAACTTTCATCATGAGATCCGCTTACTTGGACAAAGCATTTTTAACCCAACAAAGCCCCAGCCCACCAAGCATATTTGACCCAAGCAGAAGTCTAGGAATTGGACAGAGTTAAGTGCCTTTGCACTGTTGGTCTAATCTTTAAATGGAATCTGCCCAAACTCTTCGAGGTACAGGAAGACTTTCTAAAGAGTATTATGCAGGTATGGGATGTCTTACAGGTATCATTTTCCAGGTCTTCAACTTCCATGTATATTTCTTTTCCTGCAGAGCATCAGCTAGTTGTAATTTTTTAGATTTCCTTCTATAGCCACCCACTTTTTACTTTCTAGCTCCTATATTATTATGGTGCACTTCCCTAGGGTGCAGAAAATTCCAGGGTGCAAGTAAAGAAATAACTCAAAATCCCTTCTAATTTAGGCATCGTATACCAGAGTAGGGCTTCATGTTTTCCTTTGCCTCACATAAATCCTGTTAGGGGCTAAGTGAAGTGTAACAAACTGGGAATTTTGGTACACGTTAAGATGTTACTTATTCAGCTATATCATAGAGTGAAGTAGCAGGAGTAATACAGATTTCTGTTTGACAATTTCTTCTCTTCCATCCCCTGTCAAAGAATGCATCCCTCCTGAGGTAGCATTTCATGAAAGGAGAGCAAACACAGCATCAGTGAGAAGTAATAAGGGTGACAGTGCTTTATTTAACCATGGCGAAAACCCTACAGCAGGGCAACCCACCTCATCTGTCTGCCTGTTCCAGGATATTCAGGATTTGTAAAGATTTGCTGGGAAACAGCAACTTACTCTGAAGCCCACTTCCCTGGCTTGTACATCATTCTCCATAAGAAGAAAGAGTGTTCCATTCAAGAGTTTCTTTGTCTAGAGTACAGTTGGATAGTTTGCATGACTTCAAGGAGAAAGATGCTATGCGTTCCGTGTTTACTTCCAGCTGATTAATGCTACCTCTTAAGGTGAAAGGAAGATAGAGAAACTATACAACATGTCAGCTAAGAGCACAGATTGAAGAATCAGAATTTCTGGTTTCAAATCTAAGCTCAGTGTGACCTTGCACAAATTCCTTAACTCTCCTGGGTCTCAGTGTGTTCATCTGTAAAAATGAAGGCAATAATAGTACCCACTTCACGAGGTTGCTGGGAAGCCCTTAGAATAGTCCTGCATTTGGTAGCACGCTATAAATTTTGTTTTTATTTTTTATATTGGGTAGGTTGATGTTTCACATTTTCTTGAAAACAGAGGAAAACATTGCAGAGTTGCAGGGGATGGAGAAAAACATTGCATAGGAAAAAATTTTCATTTACTTTTCACCAAAAGGTTATTGAGGACTGAGAAACTTAACACTTAGAGTCTGACAAGACACAGGAAAAAGTTTAAGTTTGTAAACATATCTTGTGGTACAGGAAGGCATAGTAGGGTGATCAGCAAGAATCATGCAAGCAAAACATATTACAGTAGAATAATGTGGGGGAAGAAAAATGTTCACAGAGCTGAAGGAACTATGAAAAACCCTGGATTGTTGAGGAAGAACTTGCTTATTGTGTTATTTAAAAGGATAATGGTGAATATTTAGGTGCTGCAATGCTTAGAGTCTAGTTAAAACATTTTAAAGAGTAGTAAAACTGTTTTATTTCAATGTTTATATATTCAAGACAGTAGATAGTGCATTCTTTGCAATTATTAACTTTTTGGTTTAAACATTAGATTAAACATAAGCAGATGAGGGAATATAGTTTTTCAAAATTCTTTTTCAGAGGATATGAAAGGAAAAATTGAAGACCATTGCTCAAGCACATAAAGACATTTCTACACAAATGGTGGTTCAAGATATTTGATGATGCAGCCACTACGAAAACAGTATGGAGATTCCTCAAAAAACTAAAAATAGACTTACCATATGATTCAGCAATCCCACTCCTGGGTTATATCCAGATGAAACTCTCATTCGAAAAAATACATGCACCCAACACTCATAGATGCACTATTTACAATAGCCAAGACATGGAGGCAACTTAAATGTCCATTGACAGTTGATTGGGTAAAGAACTTGTGGTACGTATATACAGTGGAATACTACTCAGCCATAAAAAGAATAAAATAATGCCATTTGCAGCAACATGGATGGAACTGGAGATTGTCATACTAAGTGAAATAAGCCAGAATGGGAAAGAAAAATACCATATGATATCACTTACATGTGGAATCTTTAAAAATGACACAAATGAACTTATTTACAAACAGAAACAAACTCACAGACAAAAAAAAAACAACAAAAAAACTTGTAGTTACCAGGAGGAAGGAGGGGTGTTGGAGGGATAAATGGGAGTTTGGGATTTGCAGATACTGACTGTTATATATAATAGATAAATAGCAAAGTCCTATTATATAGCACAGGGAACTATATTCAATAACTTGTAATAGCCTATAATGAAAAAGAATATGAAAAGGAATGTATACATATGTATAACTGAGTCACTATGCTGAACACCAGAAATTAACACAACTATAAACCAACTATACTCCAATAAAAACAATTTTAAAAAAAGATACTTGACGTCTAAGCAATTTCATGAGAGAGCTCTAGCCCCACATCCAAGGATGACTACTGGGAGAGGTGGTGTGAGCAGCTTATAGGAAGATGGGTCATAAGCATAGACCATATAGGTCTGTATTTCACAGAAAATATTGTTTCTTTTAGTCTTATTCATTTTCTGATAAACGATATGCCCTATAGGGAGGTAGTTTTGAGGTTCCTTGTAATGACGAGAAGTCCACTTGAATTGAGAATAAACTAAAAGCAGAAAGAGAAAGCAGATCTCCTGTCCAGGCAGGTTCAAGACCTGAGTCAGGACACGGCAGTGAGAAGCTGGAACTCAGGCACTGCTCAAATAAAACTTTCAGCAGGATGAATTTCAAATCTATGCTGAATGTTTACAAATTGTCTACTTTCCCTGAGTGTTTGGCTCCTGAAATTCTTAACCCTGTGATAAACTAATCTCTTACCCTCTAAAATGAACAAAAGCGCTAAGCCTTCAGCCCCTCATGTGCTCTTTCCTTCAATCAACAGAACTGACTCTCCAAACAGGCACTCAAAAAATAACCTCTGACCCATCAATTCACTCAGGCAACCTGCTTCTAATTCATAAACTCCCCTAATCAGTGCCTTCTGATGACTATTTCATTTGTTTTTTAAACTCCACGTGGCTGAGCTTCTGCAATCTTATATTCTAGGTACTTTCCAGCAGTGATGGCTCTGGAATTTCTACATAAGATGGGTTGGGCAGAGCCAATATGGTTGGAAGAAGCTAGGAAGGGGGCCAGCCAGACTTGAAGCCCTATTTGCATGACACCCACTCTAACAGTGAAGAGCACAGGCTCTGAAGCTGGCCTGTTTATTCCTGACTCTATCACTTACTAGCTTTGTGAGTTTGGCCAAGTTACCCGACTTCTTCATGACTCAGGTTCCTCATTTATAAAATGGGGACAGTAGTAGCCCTTGTCTTGGGGTTGTTGGATGCCAATATAGGTTCCTAGTGACCAGCTGGGATGAGAGCAGGCTCCTTGGAGGATCCCAGTCAGTTCCCATATTTAGGCTGATTAGAAGCTGTATCCCCAAGTGGGGGGTGGGGCGGGTATAGCTTAGTTGTAGAGAGCCTGCTTAGCATGCCCAACGTCCTGGGTTCAATCCTCAGTAACTCCAATCAAGAAATAAATAAGTAAACCTAATTAACTCCTCTGCCAAATAAATAAATAAAGAAGCTGTATCCTCAAGCAGAAGCTGGGAGACAAACTCCTTCCAGGCAGTAAGCGGGAGATAGGTATTTGCGCCTGCTCCCACTGCCTGAGCCTGGAAGAACAGGTGTAGGAAGTGCTTGCACATCCATTTAACAACTGCTCCCTTGTTTGCTAGTCTTGTGGGATTCTTGAATGGAAGCCCCATTGGCTTTCAGAGCTAAGCAATCTGGAGGCCCATCCCTCTGGTGGCAGCCTTAAAAGTTGGGGCACTGGATGTGTGGGCTAAACGCTTTACTCCTCAAGGAGAAGCTGGGAGCTGGGTGTTCCCTCCCAACTGTAAGGTACTGTGCTGGAATGGGGGGTTATACAGTGAGTGTTGTCTCAGCCTTTCCTATCCGTTTTTAGGTGGGTACTTTCTTGGTTGTCCAATGTGTAGGAGTCGCTCAACTATCCCAAGGACAGGGGAGGGCAGGAGGAGCCTCCAATTACCCAGGGCCAGCTCGTGAGTCAAACCCAGGTCACATCTCCTTGATGACCTCCTCTGACATCTTGCCACCTCATGGCCGGCTCTTATAATCTTATGCACCAACCACCTTGCTTCTGCAGTGTGTCCTAAGTGATCAGCAAGGGGTTTCACTAGCACGGAGATGGCTCGTTTGGGAGGTATCTGGCTGCATTGGAGGCAGATGTCACAGGAACAATCTAGGCATACGCAAGAGAAAACATAGATTAAGATAATGATCCCCAAAATCTAGGACAACTTTTTCCACCAAGAGACCCATGATCTGAACCACTGATTTGTGAAGTTCCCTAGGCTGGGGGTTGGATCACTCAGAGCGTTCACTTGTGTTCTCATGTGATTTAATACAGATGACACATTAGCAGACTTATCAGGTATGAACACTTAACATGCTGTTTGAATAATGGCCGTCCTATTTTGGAGAACAGCTTTTCTCATTAGAGACGTTTCAGAGTTCAGCAAAGGCAGCCTTTGCTAGCTATCGTTTAAGGTTAGATGGGTGAATTTAGTAAAGGCTTCTCTGTGTGCTATAATGTCCTCCGGGCCAATGGAGGGGAAAAGATGGTGGCCAAATGATTGTCCCAGTGGAAGACAGAACACGCCTATCTGACTTTTAGGAGAGGGAGGCTGGAGGCTTTAGGAATGTGACCTGGTGTGCACATCACACATGTTGGCTGGGGGAGGCAGCCAGGCATGAGGAGACGGATTGAAGGTGGAATATCCTAGACCAGGACCCCCACCTTCTCCCCTCTTTTAATGGTGTGTGTTCCATTCTAGGTATAGGGTATTTCAGCAGGTCCAGCTTGTAGCAAGTCAATGAGATACCAATGGAGATTAAGTAGACTTCACTAAACACGAAGTTGGAAAGAGATGTGCAACACACTATTATATTACACACCATTATATTACTATTTCCACCGGACAGACACAGTAGATGCACATAACTTCATGAGCATAGATTATAGTTATCAGAAAGTGATGAGTTTTGAGTATTTTTACCTTTGTTTTTAATATAATTTAGTTCACTGTAAGATGATATGATTTAATTTTTATTGTGGTATAGTTGATGTACAATATTATATAAGCTGCAGGTGTACAACATAGTGATTTATAATTTTAAAAGATTATACTCCATTTATAGTTATTTTAAAATATTGGCTATATTCCCTGTGTTGTACCATATATCCTTGTAGCTTGTTTATTTTAATATAATTTAATTTTTAATGATGGCTGTGTTGCAAAAAATCCTGAAAACTGAACAACTTGGACTCCTTGCAAATAGGCACACATTGACACCAGTACACCACTGGTCTCATCTCAACAGCCCAAGCCCCAGTCTCCCCACCCCCACCTCCTATGCCCCAGAGATCCCAGAGTCTGTCCCTGAGCCTCTCTTCCCCCCTCATTCAAGATGTGTACCTACGCATGCTCACCAGCGCCCAGAGGTCCGGCCCCCAGTTCCCATTCATACTGAGTCTCACTTTATGTGTCCTTCCCACTAAGCTCTGTGTATTGGGGCTTCCTTCTCACCCGCCCTGCACCTGCCCAGTATCCCGGTTACTCAGGATTTCCCTTCCAGGAAACAAGGTCTTGAGCTAGAACAGGTTTTTAGCCCCATCTCTGCCTCAGAGGGTGAGTCCCCTTCACTTTGACAACTTGATCCTCTTGGCCTGTCCTACTTCCTGCTCCTCCCCAGGCCATGCCTAATGGGACCACGTCATTCTGCACTCTTCTGTACCTCCCGGCCTCTGTACCCCTCCTCTCTGAGTTCAGGTATTCTGTTACCTGCCCACAGCTGGAAGAATGACAGGTCACATGTCCAGCCCCTGCCCAGCCCAGATGACGCTATAAAGGCCTTCTTTGAAAGAGAAAGAATGAGGTGTCATTCTGTGCAGGGATCCCAAGGGACCAGGCATCCAGCCTTCCCAGTCTGCAGCCCCCGGACCCTCTCCTGGTGTTGTTCTTCAGGTGAAAGACCCATTCTTTGGAGACCCAAACTCCTAGCCCTCTGGCCTCAGATCTCCACCTTGGGACTCTTCTTTCTCAAGACCTTTTTTTTTCTTTCCTTTCTAGGCCTTAGTCACATCTGGGAGTCCCTTCCAGGCTTGGCAGGCAGAGTATCTCAAGATGAAAAGAAAAACATCTTTCTTTGCTTGTTGGCTGTGGTTTCACCTTCTACTACTTTTAGGAAATGGTGAGTGTTTTTGTTTCGAAGAGGATAGTCTTGAAATTTGAGGAGAGTGTGGGAGAAATGTTGACCAATCCTGGGTTGCACACTCTGTCCTGTTAGCTCTCATTCTCACCAAAGAGCAAGGACCAATATTTTGCTCTACTCTCTTCAGTCCAACCTAGCATTTGTTCTTCATTCTGGTCCCAGTAACAACTCTTCTACCTGGAAGTCTGGCCTATTTCCTTTGTAATAAATCAGTCTCCGATTGAGATGCATTCGAGTTGAAAGGAAACTTAAAGTTAATGTCTGATCACCCACAGTAGGCAGGGGTCCATTTCCAGCATCTCTGACGGCGGTCACCTAGCCTCTAACTAAAATTGTCAGGGGGTGTGCTGTTCTATCCTTGAATAACTTAAATTCTTTCCAGAATTTGCCCCACATGGCTTTGATTCCTTTGTTTTATGCCCCTGAACAACACACAACAAATCTATCCCCTCTCCACAGGCCAGTTTCTCATCTCACTTAGTTTCCCTCTTGACCCTGACCCTAACCCTAATCAGAGGCATTCGTTGGAAGTTTTTGGATTCTTCCCCTAAATCTAAACTTGCAATCTTTATGTCAGTCCAGACAACACTAAGAAAGGAACACATGCATAGAGTAAGGGGAAGAAAACCCAGCAGAAGCACAGGACCATGGATGACGTGAGGGTATTTAGGCACCCGGGAGGCCAAGAGCTGGGTTGTTTACTGGGATGGAAAATCAGAACAGGGTAGAAAATAGGCATGAGGCAGACGGGAAAAGCACGGGCCTCACCTTAACTCTAACTCACTAACCAAGGAGGTTGGGTCCCTTCCAGGAACCCTGGGAGATCTCACCTCCTCCAGCTCATGTGGCTAGTTCTCTGCCAGGCCAGGGGCCAAGGCTGCGTGGGGTCCCAAACTTTTGTGTGCATAATAATTACCTGATAGTAGTAAAAATGCGCATTATTCCCCCTCCCACACTTCCCCTTGATTATGTCTCCCCTAGAAGAAGGGTATAGTTCATCTGGAGAGGAGCTCAATATACACACATGGACCCTGCAACCATCTCTTTTATATTCTTTATCTGGAGAGCATCACAAATAGAGAAGGAATAACACCTGTGACCCCGGAGATCACGTGACTCCCCAGGTTATGCGACCTAGGCTACAGACCAGAATATGAGTTAAGGGCTGCCTCTAGCGTCCGGCTGCCTTGGTTTAAATCCCTGTTCTGTGTCCTGCTAGCTGTCTAACCTGGGACTAGTTGTTTAACTTCTCTAAACCTCAATTTCCCTATCTGTAAAATGGGGGTAATAGCAGTTCCTATCTCACGAAGGTATTATGAGTATTTGAAGTACTAAGTCTTCTGTGGCACTTAGCACAACGCCCGGAACATCGTCAGCATTCAATAAGTGATAGCTATTATTGTTGTTGACAGCAGGAGTGGTAGTTGCAGAACCAAGCACAATTTCTAATGGAACTAACCAGCCATCCTTTTTTAATAAGCTGTCACTTCTAATGCTAGCACAATAGCCGTCTCTCTTGAATCAACCACACCATCCAGCAGGACCACCACAGTCACCTCCCCTGGACCAACCACACCACCCCGTGGAACTAATACAACAGCTACAACCTCCAATGGCACCAGCACAAGTCCTGCCCCACCAAGGAAAGAGGAAAACGCTAAAGGATACCTGAGGCCTGGGGAAGTCGTCCTGGTCACTCTGGCCTCGGTTGCAATGGCGGTGACTCTCCTCACTGGACTCCTCTTCCATTTTGTGAGTGCCTGATGTATAGGAAACTCTTTTTCTAAGGGAAAGAGAGCAGGGAAGTGAGGAAGGAACTAGGCTAGAGAGAGCAGGGTCACTGTGGGAGTAACAGGGATGAAAAATCAGGGAAGACACAGAAACCCCAGGTTACAGCCAGCAAGACAGAGGGTCAGAAAAGCCAAGACATATTCAGACGGAACTGCTGAGGGGAAAAAGGGGTCAAAAGAAATAACGAGGTGGGGAGAGCTGGCAGGAAGAGGGTGCTTGAGACTGGAGAGCACTGGAAGAAGGGGCAAAGCTCTGAAACTATTCAGCCTTTTGTTTTCTAGAGAAACTCTCTGAGCCTAAGAAACCTCTTCAGCGTAGATCTCGCACCACCACCATGGCCATACCCTCATGGCTCTTATGAAGTCCCAGAAGGGTCGAGGGCAACTGTAACTGATTTCAGAGGAGACCTGTTTCTTCCTGCAGCCATGGAGCTGACTGGGAGACACGAGTGGTCCTGAGCATCCCTGAAGGCAGAAGCATCACCATCCAGTGGGTGTGGGGAGCTGGCCTGAGGGACTGGGGACCTGAGTGTCACCCCGTCCTGCCTCTAGGGCTGCTTCTCCCAGCTCTCCTTCAGTCTCTGACTGTCTGCCTTCCCGTTTGGTTTTTCCAAACCAGGAAAAGGAGGCTGCAGCTGTGAATAAATTATTAAATAATTGTGCCTAATATACGTGAGAGCCAGACTGGGAGTGTGTTTGTATATCACTGTAAATAGAGGTTCCTTATATCATTAAGAGCCCTCTTCCAGGGGGTGGTGGGTAAAGTTCAGTGGTACAGCACATGCTTCGCATACAGGAAGTCTTAGGTTTAATCCCCAGCACCTCCATCAACAAAAAAGGGGGAAAAAAAAAAGGCCCCTCTTCTTTCTGTTCTTCCGACTCTCATAACCCTAGAGTGAAGTCCAGAGACTTTATATCTGTCCCAGTTTCCTCCTCATTCTGTCCTCATTCCCTGGAGGCCTCCAGGCTGATGGAAGAATGGAATCAGGGAAGATAGGAGAAGGCAGGTGCTGGACTTAACAGGTACATGTTACATAATGAAGAGGGCTCAGGGGAGCCATCACCCAGATGTAAAGTAAAGAATGTCTTGCTAATGGGGCTTCTAGGGCTTCCCCCAGGAGTGGCCACATTCCTTGGCTGCTCAGGTCTAGTCTGGGCTCGGCTCCTCACTGGGAAGTCAGGTGTAAGTCACCACCTTTCTCTCCTGTGGGCTCACAGCCCCAGCAGCCCTCCTGGGCAGGAAGAACATGCTCCCAGTTTCTGCACAGGCTAGCCAGGCCTGCCCTACCAGGATCCAGGCTCTCAGCAGCCCCTGCAAAACCACACTCAGAACAGGGACACAAAGCCTGTGTGTCAGCGCCGTGCTCTTGCTGAAAGCCACGGCCTTGTCAAGGGTCTGGTGCAACGTGTTCATGACATGTATTCTGCTGATTCTGATTCTCCCTCACTGCAAATGAATCACTCCTCTTTGTTTCCACAACTTGGCACTTGCTATGGTTCTCTTAGGCTGGGCCTTTGCCAGAGCCTTCTTAACAGGACCAAGGCTGTTTACATACATTTTGCAATACTATTAACAAAACAGTTTTAAAGAGCTGTATAGAAGCCAAACACAAAAGAGGACCTAGCATATGATTCTATTTGTTATGAAATTCAAGAAAAGACAAATCTCGTCTACAGTGACAGAGAGCAGAACACTGAGATGAGAATTTTTAGGAAGGGGGAACTTTCTGGATGATAGAAATGTCTTATATGTTGGCTGGGCTACTGGTTACACAGGTAAATAGACATCTGTCAAAGCTTATCTGGCAGGGAGGGTATAGCTGGTACAATGTGCTTAGCATGTGTGAGGTCCTGAGTTCAATCTCCTGTATTTCCATTAAAACAACAACAACAACAACAA